CTTTTCAGCAAACTGATATTGACTCAGCTATTTATCGACAAATTTATCCCTGATGAAAAAAACTTACCAGTTCGTTTCTTACGTTCAATGGATTCCAAAGCCTAAAGGCAGAAGGAAATAGTGGCAACCTTACGCTTACAGTTAGCAGTTGATAGAATAAATTGATAGATAAATATACGAATAAAAATAATTTATAACGTATACTTTAATAACCCACCGTGCACCGTAAAGGGATCTCCATATCCCTCTTTTCAGGCCTACACATTTGGAAATGAAATAACCATTGTAACTAAACCCAAAAGTAGAAAACTTAGGAAAACAATAGACCACAAATACTTCAATTTTATACAAAAATGTAACTCCCTCATATAGTCACCCAAAGTGTTGCAGCTCACGGGTAGCTGATTCTGACACTTGATATATAGAAAACGCGATAATAGTAATAAAGGGGAGTATAAGCATTTCTTCTAAACCCGTAAGGCGTGAAATTGCGCCTGATACAGGCGCCAATGCGACTACATTTTTCACTTTGGCAACCAAATCCTGAAAATTAGTCGCCAAATTGGCGACTAGAATGTTTCATCATAACCTTACCAAGAGATATAGTGAATTAAAATTTGATTTGCAAAGAGAAATCCGCGGAAAACTTCCTCGTTAAGTTTGTTTCCAAAACGTAGCACATGCATCTCGATCGATAACTAGTCGCCATCTTGGATTTAGGTGAGCTTAAACGTTGTATATCATCCATCCTAGTGTCCACTTTGTAGCACGTTAAAGATCTTTTCCCTAACTTAACTATGGAGGGTCTATCTAGAACGCTGACAGCGTAAAAAATGGTTTTGTTTGTCTTTGAAAATGGCGACCAACTTTTTTTGAATTCGCTACCACTTTGAAGAATTTAGGAGCTAAGTGGCCGTCAGAAAAAAAAAATTAATTTCACGCCCCTCGCATCATTTAAGACAAACTGCCTAAAACATACGGCGAATCCTGTGTTTGGGAGAAGAAAGATAATTTCAGATGTCTCTATCTTTCTTTCCTTTTTATTTGTTTATGTGTTTCTTTCTTGTTTTTTTTCTTTTTTAATCTTTTCTGGTAATCACAGAAAATTTATTAATTAGAGAAAGATCAACGCAGCTAGAAGAACTTTTGAAGTATTTGTAAAAGATAAAGCCTGGACAAATTCAGGTTTTGATGGGAATCGAATATCCTACGAAAGTGTTGCGTGCGACAGAGCTATCTGCCAACCGTGAGTTTCAAATTCTCCTGATTCGCTATACGTAAATTTAATTAAGTCTTTTTCTCTAACCTGAACCCAGGGATCCAGTTTTTCAGCAGGATAGTGGGGAACAGCATCAACAGAGTGTTCACAACTAAGGCCAAAGCTTCTTAATGGAATATAGTGGCCACAGTCAAAATGAGAGCAGCCTTCCTCTTTGTGAAATATGCAAATATTGGTTCTGGCACGACATTTATCTGGACAAGGTTCACACAACTGGCATTTCACGAACAATTCCATCGTAACTGATCGTAGCCACGGACAGGTGACGCTTAGCCTAGTCCTGCAACGCTCCAGATGACTGCAATGAACAAACATAGCAACAAGGACATCAACAACACAAACAACGCAAGCGTGACTCGTTGTATCGTACATTTAACTGAGGGCATCCCATCTATGGGAGACATTGGCACCCAAAAAAGTCCTAAGTCTAAAAAAATCGGTCATAAGGATCAGAACGATCTAAAAAGTCAAGAAGATTAAAGAGGGCCTTAGAGTTTCCCTTTATTTACAGCAACGTGAGAGTATTTCATAAATTTTCTTTGATTATGGTGTTCCATTTAATATTGCTTTAACAGTAATTATTAAGTCTAGATGAAACCAACGAATGCCAGATATGACTGCGGCTTACCTCAATAATTCTTCGCAAATTCTTTTCTCTTCCATTTTATCCGAGTCTCGTGGTGTCCTGATTATCACTTCGATCACAGTTTTGTGACACTCTAAAGTGACCTGGTACACTTTACTGACATTGAATTTGGCGGCGTTTGCAAACAACGTGGGGTCTATACAGGACCCACATAATTGTGAGGCCCATTCCCAAAAATGTACAACCAGTCTGCAAAACAGCCCACTTGGAACGTAGTTGGTGTTAAATGAGAGAAATATGGGCAAAGGGCCACTGCGCATGTTTGTGCCTCTCGTATTCTTCTTTGGTGATTTCAACATACATGGAACAAAATAAGGGTAATCTTCTCCCTTGCAGTTCTTAGAGTTGCATATAACATCAAAGCTTTCCATGATATGAATCAGTGAATTCTTAATATCATTCAATTCAAGGCGTTCAAACGCTCGATTTAGCAACTGCTGCGAAAGCAGTCCCTTGTTTCCAAGGACTTGGTAATCTTTCTGAGTAACAGGGTCGTTTTTCCATACTGGTCTCACCGTGATTATCTCACATAGTATTTTCATTAACCACTGCGGATCCAGCACGACCAAACCATCTGGATTTTCAGGGAGATCTTGGTAGATAATTCTTCCACGAGCTTGTAAAAAGTGCAGCAATTCTTCAACGTCATCTGTGTCATTAAACTGGCAAATGCCCCCAGAAATGTCTTCTGCAAAACGCTTTTTACCAACATAATGCATCCCTTTCTCTTTCACCATTTCGTCGACTTTTTGTTCCACACGGAGCCACTGCATAGGGATTACCTTGTTGATATGTGGCATTTTTTCAGCCAGATCCAATAGTTCCGCACGTAAAGAAACGATCTGTGGGTCGTTTTCTCTGTTTGGATTTGTGTTATCTATGAAGAATGATTCTTTTGAAATATGGCCTAAGGTTGCTGAACGAGCCATGCTGCAAATGGTTTCCTTCACAGATTCCATTTCCTTGCCAGGATCCCTAACACCATCAGCATGTGTACCCACAAGCACCACAGGAGGCAAAACATCCTTAGTGTTTGCCGACTTTCTCTGAAACTCTGGCCGTCCCAAAGAGTGCACCAAGTCCAGCCATCTCATCATGTGATCGAGATTAGTGTCCTCGACGTAGGGCGAGTTTACTTCTATTTCATCGTGATTAGGCGGTCTTATCCGACATTGGGCAGGAGCACTCAACTCCTTAGTAAGATCTGACACTAGGACATATATGGCCTCTTGCGAAAGGAAAATTGGATGAATGGCATGGTATACTGCCTGGCCAGCGAAATCCCAAACAAAAAGCCATACGCCCTCATTGTCGGATGTGTCGTTTCCCTTGAGGCCACGCTCTACGAGGGAAAGGACTTTCTCAGGTACATCTTCTGGTTTTTTCTCACTTTTGACTTCCTGGAAAACTAATATTGATATTTTTTAATCAGTTTTTACGTTTCTTAAACACGCTGTTCAATTGCAAACAACATACAGCTTAATATGACTCAGGAATGAATTTGTATTCTGTGTATAAGAACTAGAAAATTTACAAAAGCTTCGCTTCACTCGAATTAAACACTTGCCCACTCCTTTAGCAACCTGTGCAAAAAAGACCTAATATCGTATGGTTTCACACGAGTCTATGGGCAGAAACTTTACGGGCTTTACGCATCCAAAATGATACGTTTACGCTACAGAGCTGACACAATGGAAAGTGCTTATTCCTAAAAGCGAAAGGTCGAGGGATCGACTCCAGGCGCTAGCAATATCTTTTCTTTCGTCTTCTTTTTCTTTTATATTTCCCCACTTTTTTTATTGTATTCTACCAAAGCATATGTTTTTTTTCTTTTCATCCCGAACATCACCTTTTTCTGAGCAGAAATCGGCATTCGAGAAGCCAACTACCGAAGCACAGCATTTAACGACGTAGCTCTTACGTTCAAATCGACAAAAATGTCGAGATGTTGCAAGCGTATCACGATAGTCCACAGTTTTGAAACTGCGAGAAGCTTGGGAGAAGGTTTACGGACTTACAAGACACCATAAAGGAACGCCTACGGCCTTCCTAGAAGGAAGGTACTGTAGGCACAAAAAGGTGAGGTTTTAATCCTTCTAGGATACAGTTCATCGATATTGTGTTTTTTTCGGCGATCGATTATTCAAATTTCGGATCAACCTCAGCTATGGGCCTTGTTTGAAAACAAGGCCTATACTAAAATATAAGGCGGCTTGTCGCCTTCGAAAGTATATTTATCCGAGCGCATCTTATGCGCAAGATTTGTTTAAACCTTCGGCGAGACCTTATGCACGCAGCGTATACTCAAATCAATTTTTCATCCATCTGTAAAATTTTCTGTTCTCAGATCTTAGCTGTAGTTATCTTTTAGCAAACTGATAAAATGTTGACCAATTCCTGGCTATCAGTTGAGCTCCCTGCAAAAATTCTAACTGAATATGCAAAAGCCTCAGAACCGATCGAACTTGCCCAAAAGTGGAAAGAAGATCTGGAAAGAAGGAGTAATTGAGTGATGGATGCAAGGAGTGAATTTTGGGTCATAACAACAACTCAGAAATTTGCTTTCAGTAATTTTCCTAAACGAGTTACTATAACAACAACGTTTGCATATCTAGGCCGCTAAGAATGATGAGAATGTTCATGGACGGACTCACTCACGGACACGATATCAAGGAGTCTACGTTGCCATGAGCACTATCGATTCGTCTCGTCAATGCTCTGCCGAACTCAGGAATTAGATGCTACTTACCACGAGGGCAGTAGGTGCGCATTTGAAATAATTTAGTTCTGGGTAGACTGAATGAAGTTCGGCATGACCCCTTAACGAGCAGGCCTTTCCATGCCGCTCAACACTTAAGCCGTAAAGTAATGACGTGAGTAGAATAATTCAGAAAAATGTTAAGTTTACATAGTATACGGCGGGGTTGACAAAAGTCCCTGACAAGTTTCCAAAAAGATTCCCCAAACATTTCCACAAACAGTCGGAATGTACAGAAAAAATAAAACAGTATATACCGGTAATCAATTTTTCTCCTGAGGACAATGAAACAAAATATAAAAATAGCTGTAATTCGAAATAGAAGCGCTACAGTAATGTAAGAGATTCATTATTCGTGATTTTGATGACGATCTTAAGCACGAAAATCGTTCAAATAATCGGCCCCAATCTCTTGAACGACAAAAGTCACGGAAGAAACGCATTCAGTTCGTTCCAAGTCGAAAGACTCTTATTAAAACATACAAAAAAATAAACAATACGTTGCAGTTTTACGTTATATAGTGCTTTAGCTAGAGGGTTGGAGGTTGATACTGTATTGCAATTAGACGAAAATTTCACTGTAACATTTTTCCGTCAAGAAACGAAGTTTGACTGGGCTAAAATTTGTTTGACCGTTCATCTTGACCGGCGACCGTGCTGCCGTTTTTTTCAGCCTCGAGTAACCTCCCTGGTAGTTAACAAGTACCTTGAATCTGTAAAAAAGCTAGTTAATGTCAGGGCTATAGTAAGCTTTACCTTACCATTTTTTTTAATGACTTCTTTTGAAGCAAGGTCGTCATTTGAACGTTCTTGAGTCGCTCCCTTTTCTCTTGTAGGTTCGCCTCTCGTCTTCTTTCCTTCTCCAGCAAACAGTTGAACCCGATGTGGTCGTTCTTCAGAGCTGATCAGTACCTCCTTTGCAGCCACTTCTGCACATTTGTGGTCTAGTGCCCTTGTGTTTTCAAGCGGGGCTGGATTCCTCCATGCCCCTTTTCCTGCGTTCTTGATAGGGGAAATCATTTCAATCCCATTGGTGCTGGCTTCATCTTCATCAAATGCTTCACCTCTAAGGTATCTTCTCAGACTTGTTTTGCCAACACGGTCCTGACCAATCAATGCAATTTTGGTTCGTCTATCGAAAGTTTCGCCTGCCTCCAGTGCTCTCCTGTATGCTTCTAGTCCAATTGTTCCCCTCGCCTTTATGTAATAGGGGATTGGATCTGTGACAGTTCAAAAAAATTAAAAAATAAAACCAGTTAGTTTGCCGCCTCGAAAATCTAAAACACATACAGAATGAATGTTCAGTGAGCAGTCTCACGTAGCAACTGTGAAAAGCCTATTGTTACAAAGACCTCAAGAAGATATTTCTCCATACTCTTGCTTAGGACCTTAACTGCTCAGCTGGATTTTCATATAGTTTTCAGCGTTCGGGGGAGAGTTTTCCAATCCCGCTCCAGAACACACTCCTCCGAAAACCACATGAAATCCAGCTAAGTAGGACTAGGCTACGACAAAACCGAGAAACGTTTCAAAAGGTAAGTTGCTTCACTGAATTTTGCGCCAACAGCAAACTGAATGAAAATATACAAAAGCATCAACTGATCTTCCTTCGTTTTGATTTGGTTACTGACAAATGAAGCAACACTTTTCCAGTTTCGAGGCGCTGTAGACAACGAACATAAAAGATTCAGTGGCCAAAAAGCATGGTGTCTGAGAAGTTAAGCACTATACTTGTATGCAATTGCATTGTTATTGAATTGCAAGATTAGTAATATATTACCAGTGATAAATTGGGGCAAATTCGAATTTGCCCCAAGTTGCTCAGCTAAATCTGTGCGATTAACCAATGGGTGACACAGTGCATCATGTAGGACCGTGTATGTGGCAGCTGAGCCATTCTTCTCTCTCCAATATAGTTACATTTTAGTGTTCGGGGGAATAGGAGTTGGGGGTGGGGGTTAACGGGCACGCCCATAGATATGTCCTCATTTTACCTGCAAAACGAGTTTTTCCTTTCTTTGGAGTTAAGGCGTCCTTCGGAGACGACTCTTCCTTACGGCGTTTCACCTCTGGCCGAGGCAACTGTTTAGTAGAACCCCCTGCATGATAACAAATGTAAAAAAATCATTAGACCAGATTTTTTGAGCCAACAGATTCATTGTAGCAATGGAGCTTTTTCCTTTCCTAATGAAACGTCAGTAAGAAAGGTACATCTTTCCGAAATATTCCCCTATTTTCATTGTCAAACGCCGTTAATCTCGCTTACTGAATTCCGAGACAACGCCCAACTGCCTTCCATTTTTTTTCGACCTCCTCCGAAAGCCACTCCAAATCTTCGTCACTAGGAATTCATTGCTTGACTAAAAACATAACGACATCACAGAAAAGCATCAAGATGAGAGGATAGTGAGTAGTACGTATCGCAACGACTCATGACATTTTACACGTATTTATATTTTACAAAGGCAAGGGGAAGGAAGATGGGGTTGGGGGGTGGGGGTTAACGGGCACGCCCATAGACATGTTCTCATTTTACCTGCGAAACCAGTTTTTCTTTTCTTGGGAGTTAAGGCGTCACTCAGAGACGACTCTTTAGCACGGCGTTTCACCTTTGGCCGAGGCAAATGTTCAGTAGAACCCCCCGCATGATAACAAATGTAAAAAAAATCATTAGACCAGATTTTTTGAGCCTCCAGATTCGGAAGCAATGGAGCTTTTTCCTTTCCTACTGAAATGTCTCCTGAGGAATTTGCTTCAAGGCCACTTCGTGTCATTGCATTATGCATTCCTACCGTGCATCATCTTGCACGAAATATGCACGCCCACATACGCGAACGGAAGATTTATTATTCCTTTTATTCTGCCAGGAAGAAAAATTGTCATCGCCACGTGAACGGATTTGGTGACCTACTATTTATATCTCTTGTTTGTAATCGAGCGAGAAGCTTGAAAAAAATATTTTTCATACAATAAGCAACTTCGAGGAAAAAAAGACATTCACTAAAAATGAAAACTTGCGAGGGCACTTGTGGCACTTCCACACTTGCATCGCATGTTAACAAATGTTAAAAAAAAGCTAATTGGAACAGATTTTTTTCGGTCAGTAGATAAGCTTGTACACAGCCTTAAAGATTTTCCTTTTCTGTTTAAAAGTTTTTAAGGTTTTTCCGTCGTTTAGGGCCATTTCGTGCGATTGCATTACACATCCCTACATGTTATATATATCGTTTTACACGTGATAAGGAGGTCCAAATACACAAACTGAATTTTTTTCTTAATTTGGTGACCTATCCAGGGCTCGAAGTTAACTTTTTGGTCGACTAGCAAAGTTTTGCTGGTAAGATTTTTTTCCACGAGCAAACTGGTGAGACCACTAGCAAATTATTTCCTTTTGAAATGTCAATGACCATATCTGATACAAGATTAGAATTGATATTTCGCACAGGCTGTTAATGAACTGAAAAGTTTAATGAAAAAGGTATTAAATATTTGGTCTCATTTGTCGTTGTCCTGACAGCCACCACCTCTCTACTGCATGTTTGGGAGACATGGATGACTCCAACTAACAAACGTTTGCTAGTGGAAATTTTTCTCACTCGCAGATTAGCAAAATCACTCGCATTTTGCAAGTTTGCGAGCTTCAATTTCGAGCCCTGCTATCATTTACATGTCTTCTCAAAATTCGAGCAAAAAACTTGGCACAACCTATCCTCTCTGTAAAATAAATAGCCAGTGTAGAAAGACAGAGTCGTTAAAAAAGGAAGTTTGCAACGTTATTTCCTGTATCTCTGCATTCTACTAGGCAGGCAAGTTGCTTTCCAGCAAATTGACAGTGACTTAAGCATTCATCGAAAAATTTATCTCTGATGAAAAAAAATCACCAGTTCGTTTCTTACGTTCAATGGATTCCAAAGCCTAAAACGCAGGAGGAAATAGTGGCAACCTTACGCTTACAGTTAGCAGTTAAGTTGCTTTACTGAATTTTGCCCTACCAGAAAACTACATGAAACGATACCAACGCCTTAAATGATCTGCCTTCGCTTTGACTTGGTTACCGACGGAGTAACGACACTTTTCCAGTTTCGAGACACTGTCAACAACGTACACAGAAGATACAGTGGCCAAAAAACATGGTGTCTGAGAATTTAGGCACTATACTTGTATATAATTGTATTTTCATTGAATTGCAAAGTTAGTGATATATTACTATTAATGATATTATCAGTGATAAATGGTGCGCTACGCTAAATTCCAGTAGGGATAGTGCATAGAAGGCCGAAATGAAAGCAAAAGCAAACAGCTTGATAAATGTTCTCTTCCCTACATCAAAGGGAACATTACTCTTTGTGCCCTTCATTAGAGTGCATGCAGACTAAAGTTCTTCCCAACTCGAATTTGCCCCAACGAAACATAAAGTATTGTTCAGGTTCATTCAATAATTTTGAAATATATAACGTTCATCATTTTCTCAACAATTTCCCTTGATGACAGCACACTCTGCGAAGGGATCATGTGCCACAGAGACAATTCATTAAACTTTAATCATCAAGGTTTCATGTATAAAACAACAAATGTGCTCCAACATAAATAGCAAGTTCATAAGGGTTAGCATCAATTTCTAACATGAGTTTATCATAGGATTACTCTTACTACTATTAAGAAATGTGAATCGAATGTTAGCAATGATAATTTGGCTTCTGTAACTGAGTTCATAATGTAAATTGGCCTCCATAAATAAAGAGTTTCCATAGCTGATGTTTTGATTGCTAGCACTTCGTTGGACTGATTAGGAGAATGTGGGTTGTGTGAGGTTTATAAAATGGGGGTCGGGCTGGAGGGGAGAGAAGGGGGGGTTAAGGCAGGAGTTTTTAGGTGTATCATTGGGGGTCGTTGGTCTTCTTCCCAATGGGAAAAATGCCATCAAAAGCTTGAAAGCATCCCACCATCAATCTTTGTAGAAAGAAAATCGGAGCTCCTGTATGTTGAATTGATGTCAACGTCATTATCTTTAGCCCAGCGCGTCATTATCTTTAGCCCATAAGCAAAGCCTGTGAAATTGCTGACAAACATGTAACATTTCTGATCCAAGAGTTTTTTTGATTGGTCAGTGCATGATGATAGCTCATTACTCATGTTTTTAATTCAGTTTTGGTAATACAGTTCCAGCACATTTATAAAACACAAAACTAAACAGCACACAAGACCAGCTAGTGACTACAAGCAAATATACTGCGGGCATAGAAAAGATAAAAATTGATCTGTTTACCTTTGTAATGTGGCCAATCTTCAAAAATACTACACTTCTTTAGAACGTTAACAACAAAAGAAGCTGCTGTCACACTTGCAAACGTTTGCCAGTTTTTTTTTGATTCAGTTCCATCTGTATATCCTGAAATTCCCTTCACGACAACCCACTCCATTTTCAGATCATGTGCTGCACTGAAAATTCCTGAGACAAAAAATAACAAGTTATTATGAATAAAACAACAAATTTGCTCCAATATCTATTGATATTAACTTCTCCCATTGTCACTTAAGATTTGAAAGGAACTAGAGATACATTTTGGAAAGTCACCTTACATATACTAGGTACAAAGCTAGTCCCTGTAGCACAAGCTTCTCCCAGGTCCCATACCATTCAGCCACTTAGACTGTACTCTTACTCCCTCCACATGTATATGAAATACTGGACAGTTCATCAGTAGCCATCTATACTCCTGGGTACAGTGACACACTGTCAGAGTAAAGCATCCCAGCCAAGACTACACCAAAATAACTTTAGCCTTGGGCTTGAACCCAGACCTCTTGATCTGAAGTCCAGTATGTTCACACACAAGCCAGTGCATTTCTAGGAATGCATCTGAAGAATCACGTGCTTAGAAGAAGACGTTTTTGTCGTTTTTCCGACGGGATTTGACAAGAGACTTGGAAAGTGATAAAATTGTGTCGCCTCACTGAGTTGTTGCTACGAGCCCCCAGGAGTAAAGATGGAGGCAACAAGTCTTAGCCTTACGTGACTTTTTTTTTGAAGAAAGTACCTAACGACTAACGAGGAAGAATTGGTTTTTTTTTTGTCACCAGTAAGCACAGCAGGCAGAAAATTTAGTCCCACACTTTTGATCACTTCCAACAAAATAAAAGACCTTGATGTTGGCCGATTCTCTGTTTCTCGATAGCTTTAACAGGGGAATGGGAGATCTTGACTAAGTCACCTAGATGAGCAATCAATTACGCCTATTAATTTATTTAATTTATGTGAGTCATTTTGAACTGATCCTTGATCCTTGATCCTTGATCCGGTGATCCGGTGATCCAGTGATCCTTGATCCAGTTTTTCCAGGAAACCGTCGGCATTGGCGACTTGACTGGATACCGTCCCAGGATACATATATATCCAAATATCTCTTTGAGCAGATTTTACAGTAACAGTTGCTTCAAAGGAAAAAGAGATCTTACCCTCTCCTTCTGTTTCAATTGCAATTGCTTCAGGAAATGACTTCATTAGTTCATCTCGTTGCCACTCAGCTTGTACGAGCTCAGAACCATTCAAAACCTCACCACAGTGGACTTCAACTTTCCTTTTTCTAGGATTTTCTAGGGGTGGATTCCAACTATAAGCTGTAGATTTGATGAGTTCAGCAATATCTCTGCTTACAGGAGTTGTGAACCAACAAAATCTCTTTCCTTCCTTTGTAACCTTCTGATAGGAATAGGTTGTGAGTTTTTCTGATACAACTACATCTCCCAGCTTTGTTGATTCCTGATTCATACCACTACAGTGGCCCACAGAAAAGACAGCTTTTGGCCTCAGCTGAATGACAGCAGTGTTTACAACAGCCAAAGCACCACCAGGAACTCTAGAACACTTTAAGCATTTCATCAAAGCAACATTCAGTTTAACATCCTGATCTTCACCAATGCTTCCAAAGTATACAGGACCAAGCCCTTTAAAATAGCTTCTAAATGGATCATTAATGTAATAGTAGCAACTTAAGAACTCACAGTCCTTCACTGTTAACAACAGAATGTCAATTGGGAGTTGAACATCCTTCCAGCGTTTAGAATTCTGGGTTACTTCACTTATTTCTGGAAGATTAACATTGATCTTTGGTGGATCACCATGATTGTTACGGAAAGTGCTTACTTTCATTCTGATTTGTGACAATGCCAATCAGCATCTGAAAGAAACAAGACACAGCAATTGATAAGATACTTTGAAAACTTGAAGCCCTTTCATAGAAAATGCACTGAGATTGTTGTCAAACTGTACATGTTGGTTGCTGACCTTAAGGGAAAGTACAATTTGAAATAAAAAAGGGAGGTACCATGCTTGAGCTCTTTTATGAGCAGCAGTACCTTCTAGATATTCATATCATTCCTGATATTATGACAATTACATTTGTGAGTATTTGTTTGATTGGTATTTCAAAACTTTTTCCTTTTCCTAGCCTAAGAATTGGTTTATAATTGTTTGACAGAAAGAAAATACTTTCCCAATTCCAAGAAAGAGAAATAATGGTGCACTGTAGATCTTTGAGCTCATTTGCAAGAAAATGACAATTTACTTCTCTGGTAAGCTCGGATTGAGAAAAAAGGTACCAATTTTATGAGGCTTGCACCATTGTTACATGTGAAATTATACACAGTGAGGTTGTGCGATGCAGTATTAAGGAATGAAACTTATCAAAGTATTAATATGTAACTGAATTTACAATCTTTTTGCCAGGACCCAATAATTAGCCTCCACACGATCATACTGCCCATTCAATCAAGGTTTAATACAACTGCTGGCATTAGTCCATCTCTGTGTATAAGTAGCATTTATTTACTCCTGGAAAGAAAATTTTGGAGATATTGGCCCTAAATCATATGCATATGCACTTTGCAATATATGGAAAATTGAAAATACATAGATCATGTGAACAGAATGTGAAATTGCAACCAGCTGGCTGTGAACCCTTACCAAAACTACATAAATGTCACAAATATTATCCCCTACATAATTACATATCCAACATATACTGTATGTCACATCAATCTTTACTTGTATGTCACATAAATGCAATATCTATCATATATACCCATAAATACATAACAGATACATAAGTGTCACACATATGTAACAGATATGTAGTTTTGGTAAGAGAATAGAGGAACATAATGACTTCCCCTCTGCTTTAACATAGCTTGGTTGTAAGAAAATTTGCAGATCAGTTTCGAAAAAGTAAAACCACTTCAGTCCTGGTTTAAGACATTTTAAGTTCCTCAGAAGGGTGACTTGATTTGAGTCTTTGCAAACAGCAGTATAATTTCTCAAAATGGTGACCAGAGACCATGCAAACAAAAATGAAGAAGGTGCATATGATGCAGGAAAATAAATAACACTTGGGATTGAATTCAGTGTCATTGAATTACAAACCTTGCATGTAACAGTAATTCAAAGTTACCGCCAGACCCAACAAATAATCGATCGATGAATTAACATGATCCAAACTTTTAACATCTAAGCCAGAACAATCCCAACTTGAGTTCACTAACAAAAATCCAAAGAAACAAATTCAAAATCAAGGGAAGGAGTAGAAGAGCATAATAGTAAGTCACAGTTTATCTCTGAGTCTGAACATCTCCCAGCTATCAATTGAATCAAGAGGACCTCAATTGTTTGGATGAAAACAAATATTTATGATGAAAATTGTACGCTTGTAATACGTACATGTTAAATTTTACTATAATAAGGTTTGGATATCACGTGCTGTCATTGGTTGAAAGAGCATGCTCTATCAGAGCACAAAGCATAGAGCTGAGCTTAAGCTGTCACATCATCTGCCAAATTGTTCTATGTCCGACCTTTTCCAGGACTTCCCTCTAGTTTTTTTTCATTAACCCTTTAAGTCCCACTAGTGACCTTGACATATACATATCCATACACTATCAGTATGATACCAAACAAACAAGTAATGAGAATAAAGAAAAATATCAATTAGGGGATTATTGGTTGATCCAATTCCAAATTCTCCAAACTAATATCAGATAAATTGTATAGTAGACAGTAAGGAGAATTACTTATGAAATCTTGAGAGCTAAAGGGTTAATTGAAAAAGAAATTTCAGAACAAGCAAGCCAGCAAGTAGCAACAGAAGAACCAAACAAGGGTTTGTAAACATACCAATTGCCATAATTTACATCCTTATAACATAGCCAGAGACAAAAATACAGAGACAAAATGAAATGGACAGTCCGAGTACTGAAGGTTTTCACACTCAGTTAGATTGCAAGCTTACATATGATTATAAAAATCAACTCAACTAAAACTCGTGTAGCATATATTGTTTTGTGTTCTAAAAAAAAAACAGAAAAAATAAAGACTGATGAAAAATATAGCCAAACTGGCATAACTGTTCAAATTCATACTAATCATGACAGTGTCAGAATGACTGCAATCATGCTGAGGTCCATTACTACTAGCTCATCATCACAGTCTCTGGTCATCACAGTAAAGATAGCCTCAGAAATTACATCATTTCCAATGCACTGAGTGGAAGGCCACATCAGTCACAGCAGGCGAGTTTCACGCACCAGCTGTCACCCCAGCAACCTTCACGTTCCTATGAATTCAGCTGTCGTTTATGTCTAACACACGCCTTGAGCAGTTTGTTTTCGTCACATAAAAACTCTTGCTTGTTTTTATGACCCACAATTCTGTCGGATTTCATTGAACATTTCACTTCCAGATTCTATATTAGAAACTAAAAAGACTTCAGGCAAACGTGTTTAATTCGACCTGCCGAACTATTTCAGTTTGTAAACTATGGCAGATTGTGAACTTTGATAATTTTGACAGCTTTAGTCTTAAGTCCTTTCCGCACTATAGGACAAAACTAGAATTGTCCCGGAAAAATCAAAAGAAAAATTTTTGTCATGACAAATTTTTGTTAGGTCTCTTGTATCGGCATTAAAAATTTCAAAACCAACATATTCCGTCAGAACCTGATCTGTTCATAAGACCGGCCAGCATAGTTGCCGAAGAATTCCACTACCAGTTCCGGTTTTTTTTAATAAGACGATTTTGCCTAATTTTTACCCGGGACAGATTTTGTTGGCAATGCGTCCGAAAATTTGTCCACTTCGGCCAAATTCGACTAAAGAAGTGGGCAGAAACATGGTCGTGTTTCTTCCTACAATTCTTTCCTGCTCTAACCGCTTCCTGCGTGCTTCACAACAGAACAGAGTATAGTCAAGGCTTCTCTACTTCTTAAGTAAAATTCAATTTTGATATCAGTACTGTTGAAGGACTGATCATGAATGTTATCACAAATCTTTTGATCTGGCGTAGTCTATGAAGAAAGAACGATCGCCTTTGTGAACAAAATCTACGCTATAACAACCACAGACTATTCTTACCTCGAAATCTCCGCCATAA